TATCGTGAGTTGAGTAGGTTTTTGTAAATCTCTGTTTTTCTATTACACTGATAAGACTATTAAAATGAAATACACAACTGTCAATGAAACAATACTAATCCTATTTACAACCTCGCCAAGTTTACTAGCTCGCTAGTTTTATAGCCTGTCCCAAGCCCGAGAAAAGAGGAAGGGTTGAGAAAAACGCTAGCTACCCTACTCCAGAAAACTAATCAAATTGATACGGAAACTTCAACTCACAAGAAAAATATTAAAAATACAAAAGATGTAAAAAGCAAATTTATTTTTCGCTAGAATCGGAGAGGCGAAATGACACGGGTTGGTGAAAACCTTCGGGAAGTCAGTCAGCCAATGTGTCTTCTCTCGATGAAAGCAAAAGTGGGAATGGGGACGTGGAATATTCATACAACGTACGAAGCTCGGAAAGCTGCCCAGTTAGCCAAAGAGATGAGAAGATATAGCATAGAAGTCCTGGGAATATGCGAGAGTAGGTGGAATGGAAGTGGACTAGCCAGATTTTCAACTGATGAGTCAGTGATCTACTCCGGTCTGGTCACCTAGACGACAACCATCAGCACATTGAGGCTTTTAGTCGCTATCATGATGTCACTAGCCGAAGCTCTTATTGCAGTGGGAACCAATTTCCTTCAAAATTATTCGAACAGCATTAAATTCAAATAGAAGGAAGGAAGGTTACAATAATCCAATGCTACGCGCCCACAAACAACGCAGAATAAGAAGGAAGATTTCTATGGATAACTGCAAACAGGCAATGGACAACATCCCGAATGGTGACATCAAAATCCTTGTGAACGATATGAATGCAAGCCGAACTGGGAGCAGACAATGCAGGAAGAGAACTCATCATGAGTCAAGAGGCTATTGGAGAAATGAATGACAATGAAGAGTTATTCGCAGACTTCTACACATTCAAGGGTTTGGTAATAGGAGGCAGCGCGCACAAACATAAGGATATACACAAAACAACATGGATTTCGCCTGATAGACACACCACAAACCAGATAGATTTTATCTCGATGCTGCTCAGGGAAGTGGAGACGCAGCCTGTTGGACACAAATTCGAGTAGGGGAGCAGATGTGGGTTCAGACCATCATCTAGTTCAAGGAACATTCAAGGTGAAGCCGAAATCCATGAAAACGAATGGAGACAGACCACAATTCACTTTTAACATTCAGAAACTGAAGGACAACCTACAAGGGATACCTTCATTACAGATCAGATCAGAGCAAAGTCGGAGACACTACGTGGCGTTACTGAGGACACCTGCGTGTAAGAACATTGGAACTCCCTGAAGGCGATGTTCCATGAAATGGGTACAACTGTCCTAAGGAAAAAGAAAAGGGACAACAAGGAATATCTCTCAACGAACACCTGCCTTGAAGCTAACAGAAGAGAAGAGAGGAGGATGGTGAAAGAGAAGATGACTCAATGAAAAGATGGATAACAAAAGGAGAATCTGAGTTCAGTGTACACTACACTAAATAAAGAAGTGAAGAAGAGTGCTAGCAAAGACAAAAAGACAATTCTACGACACAGTGGCCTACGACTGAAGTAGAACAGGTGGCAGATAAAAGACACCTCAGAGCATTATATCAGATAACCAGGTCTCTATCCAAGAGGAGATGGACCCCGATGATGAAACCTATAAAAGATGTTCAGAGGAACCTAATTACCATGGAGGAGGAACAAATGAAACAATGGACTGGTCAGTTTAAAGGACTCTTGAATCGACCAGCACCTGCAAATTGCCCAGAAATACCACTAGCAGCACGCACACATCTGCCAGTAGACACCAGTGCTCCAACAAAATCAGAAGCCTTGAATGCAATCAAGCTACTGAATGCCAGCTGGGAAGGCAGTAGGACCAGACGGAATTCCCCACACCGAAGCACTGAAAACAGAAACAGAGACTGTGACAGAAATGCTTACACCATTATTGCAAAAGGTTTGGAAGGAAAGGTGCCTACTGACTGGAAGGAAAGCTACCTTGTGAAACTAACAAAGAAGAACGACTTATGCCTCTGAAAGAACTGGCGTGGAATCATGTTCATGTCCACACCAAGTAAAATACTAAGTAGCATCACCCTTGAGAGAAGAAAAGATGTACTCGATGCACAACTCCGCCACCCATCGAAAAAAGCTGAATTCAGAGAAGGCAGATCATGTGTTGATCAAATTGCATCTCTACGCATCGTCATCGAACAAAGTATAGAATGGCAGTCAAACCTCTATCTGAACTTCATCGACTTCGAAAAGGCTTTCACAAGCTTTGGCCGAGAATTAATTTGAAAACTGCTTCAGTACTATGGAACGCCCCAAATCTTTACCAACCTCATTCAACTGCTGGCTATATGACAATGCCACGTGTCAAGTTATCCACTACAGAAAACTCAGAGAAACCTTTGAGGTGAAAACATGAATAGGATAAGGCTGCCTGCTCATTATCTCTGATGGCATTCTTAACTGTGGTGGACTGGATTATGGGTCAGACTGTGAGTCGGGAGAAGACAGGAACACGTGGGATCGATAAGAAGACTCTAGAAGATCTGGATTTCGCGCCTGGATGATTTATGTTTGATTTCACGGAAACTCGAAGACTTACAGGCAAAAACCAACAAGTTGGCAGAAGAGGCAGGCAGTGAAGACAGAACTGCAGGTGAACATAGAGAAGGCGGAGATGATAAAGATAACCAACGAACAGCAACAACAGCAAAGTCAGCCGGTACCAATCACCATCAAAGGGAGAGATTTAACAGAGACTACTTCCTTCAATCATCTAAGAAGCATCGTTTCAGCTATATGCGAACGGAACGGATGAAGATGTCAAAGCCAGTCAGAATCGGAATTCTCATTCCTAGTGGAATACAGAGCTCTGTACTTTCAAAGTTTCGGTAGCAGTGACGTTGTTTGTTTCACCTCACGCCCAACCCTCTGAGTTTTCCAAACTCACTATAAGCTGATGAACTAGGTGAGGTTTGAAGATGCGTATGCCAGAGATCGAATCCAGACTTTCTGCTTGGTTAATGAGCATCTCAGTATAGAACCACTGATGTATTCACCAAAATCTTCTTGAAGGTATGACGTAGATGATTATGGAATGAAATATTAAAAAGATGAATTGACAAAAATATTCAACTAATTGTGAAAAATTTTTATTTAGGATATGAGTCCTAGTAGAGAATTTGCAACCCATATTTTAGACATTGGATGATATATTGCCTATATCAATAAAGTTTAGGTAAATGCATAGGTATGTGGGCATATTTTTTAAAATACTGAATAGTAATTGCAAAAGAATGTTAGATTTAGGAATTTAAAGAATATTCCTGCATAACAGTCAGTGTATATATGTAAAAGTTGATATTGTGTTCTTCCCCATTTCACATACAAATCGACAGGCATATTTCAAAGATAGAAATCTGAATGAAGTCAAGTCTCTCACTTACTTAGACAGCTTCATTTTAATTACAGGCGACATAGATTAAACTGTTAAAGGCAGGATTAGAAAAGCAAGACAAACTTTAATTGCTGTAGAATCAGCGTGGAAGTCTGCTGCACTCAACATGAGAGACAAGATTCGAATCTCCAACATCAAAGTCAAGATTTGACTTACCACCAAAACCATTTCGAATAGGCTTCAGACTTTTATCAGCAGATGCCTTCACTGGTATGCTGAAGATCAGATGACCGGCCCGCAGGGATTGGCAACAGGGAATTCTGGGAACGATCGAACCAAGAACCTGTAACTCAATAAATATACCGAAGAAATTGGAAATGTACAGGCACTGAGAAAACCGGTGATTGACATCAGGCCGCAGGCAAACCCTTGAGTGGAGCCCGAATAGGAGACGGTGAGTTGGGCGTTTGGCCGAAGAAGACATGGAGGAGATCTTGAGGGGGAGATGAGAGCTTATTCGCGATCATGGAGCTAGCTAGGGAGGATTGTAGAGAACAGGATGAAATGAAGATAAACTGGTGTAGCCCTACGTTCCACTTAGAACCAAAGGGGACAATAAAATAATAATAATTTGTAATATATTTATTTTATGAAGAAAAATCAAATGTTGTTTTTTCCCCTTGATGAATATATAAACAAGAACAACTAATTGAACAGGATAATGTGATTTAATGTTTCTTTCTTTGATTTCTGTCGACTATGTACAATCTGAAACAGTTTTAAGATCAGTGTACAATATATTCGCATAACTTAATCAATAAGCTTGAAGATGAAGGCTATTAATATTACATAATATAGACAGCATATTGAAAATGATAAACGGTTTTATGAAGCTTGTTAGTACATATGTAGAAATACAATTGAATTTTAGATTTTTCCGTCGACTGATTGGACCGAAGTGCTCGGTCTCATTCTCAATGAGTGATGATGTTCTCACCGAGGCTCGAACCCAGTACCCATAGTTTCAAACGCCAAATGCAGGCACATGCAGATGACGAGTCCCAAATAGGACAAAACTCGCATCCTAGATTCCACTGCTAGTCACCACCCACCAATTAAATATATGTAGAAATAATTAAAAGAATATTCTACAGTTAGGTGAAGGAGTTGCAAACTGACAATATATGTCGCGTGAGAATTATATAATTGAGATGACCGAAGGTCAGGACATTTCGTGAGATAAATAAAAAAAGAAGTGTTGTTTCTATTTATCATCATATTGATTGTTACACCTTTTGTTACATCATAGAAAATAATGGCGTATTGACAGTCATTCAACTACATTTATTTTTATTGAAATAATAAATCTGTGCGTCAGTGGTTCAGTGGTCACCAGTCACGTAAGTGGCCCAGGTTCGATTCCCTGCCACTGCGCTCATAAACCTTACTAAGCATGTAGTAAGCCTCTTTAGGCTGTGAGGCTATAGCAAGCTCACCTATTTATTTTCGTCTTTATGATAAATTCAAAAGTATAATTTAGCTTATAATTTTACATTTGCTTTTCATTTTATAAAAATCTAGAAAAATTGTACATCGATGTGATTCATTAGAACAAAATGAGTTGCATTCACTTATGCTAAATGCTCAAGCATTAATTAACTGTTCAATAAGTGAAGGCCAATCAGTATCTATCATGGAGGTAAGTATATATATATATATATATATATCATATGATTTACATAAATTACGTCTTCTTCAGTTTTATCGATTGAAAGATTACCTTAGCAATTGGAAATTCGTGTTTTTATCATTTATTCATTTCTGCTATAATTTGTAATTTTTCAAGTATTTGTAGAAATGTTAATAGGACTGAAATTTACCGATATGTTGTAGGCTATTCAAATATATATAGTAGAATAAATATGTCCAAATATTAGTTCATTCATAATCCTATGTCTTTTGACTGACTTAGCAACGTGTCATTAAACAGTCAACCTTTAGGGTGTGGATATATGCTGCGGCAAATTGAATTTGCCACGCTTTCGTTTTAGTATATTTGTATAGGTAGAGCGGAGGCGGTCAATTATAGTTTGAATTTCCTCACCTGGTTGATCTTGTATTACAGGTCTAGAGGAATGCTGTAATCATATATGGTGTTACGTTTGACTGTTTTAGAGGAGTTCTATCAACTTTTCTCTTACACAGCTAGAGTATCTGTTTTGACATTTGCTACATTATGCGCGAAAACACCTCACGATCGTCTTTATTTTAACTCCGGCTCCGAAAAGTAGACTATTTAAAGATGAAAAAGTGTTTCAGCTACTCAATATCTATAGAGTATGCAAGTCAATATCTTTTTCCCCATCTCTTTAACAGAACAGTTGGCATCATAAGACACCTTTTTTGTTTATATACAGTTAGCAAAGCAAACTATGGCAGTCTTAAAATTGAACCTTAAGAGATAAATAAACCAGAGGTCTTGTTTATTCGTTCCAGTCAATTTTAATTTTCCCACTGAGTGACTGAACAGAAATTTGCGGTGTCTGTTGACATGTCAGCTTGAAATACGGACGCTTAGACAATGCTTAAGGATTAACATGTAGTCATTTGGTGGATAGTGGAACAGCTATGGAATCCATGATGCGCACTTTGTCCTTTATGTGACTCTTCAACTGGAAGTGCCTGCATTCTTTAGTGATGAATCTTTGGCATTTGAAACGATGGGTACCGAGAGTTCGAGTCTCGCTGGGGAACACAGGTGCCTCCAGATGAAGAGTGCCAAGTCGGAGGAAATGAACATCCTCAATTCCACACTGCTTGCCACCATTCACCAAACTATTAGATGTCCTGTTTATCTGTGCGAGTGTAACAACAGAAGAGAAGGGCCAGGCAGCAGAACGTTTATTAAGGAAAATCAACACGTATTTATAGATTTTGATGTACATTATTGTAGGTTAATGTTAGTAGAAAATACAGTCTGTTGATTGGTTGTTTCTCACACAAAGTTAACCTTGCATCTCTTTTGGCTGTGTCAGTTCATCTATATGTTAACTGTATCCGCCTGTTCATCTTGACCTTGTTTTCACATGACTAACATTGACCTCAATTACTGTCAACCAATTGGCTAGCAACCATCTCTCACCACACGAGTAATGGAATACGACAGTAGTAACCATCAGACATTTTAATGATAACTGGTTAAATTAATTTGAACAATTGACACTTTGACAGCTAGCGAAAGGACAGGAAAGGTTTTTCTTATGATATATATACATATATATATCATACATGCATACACTGGATATAATTATTAGCAATGTTTTCGAGCCTTCGCATCATTGCTTCTGCAATCAGACCTGATATTGGCGATCCCATGGGTGTTCCTTTGACTTGTTCATAAATTTGGCCGTTGAATTGGAAGTACGCTGTTAGGCATAGGTTTATGCATTCCATCCAACTTGTGTGTTTCATTTTTGATTGTTGTGGGAGGTGTTCGTCGTTGTTGAGTAATTGCTCCATGGTCTCTTTTGCTAGTTTCCGTCCATTTGAGGTATCTAATGCTGTGACGTCGAAGCACATCATTATTTCTTGGTTATCCATTTGGATGATTCTGATTTTCTCTAGAAATTGGATAGCAGAATTGATGGAGTGATCACAGGATTCCGTTAGGTGTTTCAATTTTCTGTATAATTCTTTGGATAAATTGCATGTTGGAGTTCCTGGGAGTGATACGGTTGGTCGTAACGGGATATTTGGCTTGTGTATCTCGGGTCTGCCGTGGAATCCGGGTAGGACTGGTCCATTAGATTTCATTCGCTAGACCAATGGCGAATGAAAATTATTAACAATAAATGTGATGCAACTGTAATACAACTTCAGTGTGTAACATATATACGTATGTATATATATATATATGATGAACGAAGGAATACAGAAATTTTCTTTCCCTTGACAGAATAATATTGGCAATTTACTGTCTCTCTGTCTACTAAACACTTTCAAAATGTACATATCAGTTATGATTGTTTTTATAAATAAAACAGTGGTCACGTGGGTAGTTTCACAGTTTGAGTTTTATTTCCCTTATTCTCATAGAATGAAATGTAGCCTATAAAAAAATGTAATTAAAAATCAGTCAATAGGATAACAGTGGTAGAAAGACTAGAGTGGTGATGGTAGGAGCGAGAAATACACGAATTACGCAGTTAAGTACAAAGCTTAGTAAAGAAGAGATATACATATATGAGAAAGAGGTAAGTCACACATTTTCAATGCTTACCTACTAACGATAAAATAATGTAGACAATTTGAATAAGGAAGCTTTTAAAACGAACATTTCTCGGTGAAATAGTAATAAGAATTGAAACAATATTAGAAAACAGATTAGAAGTAGTGGGATGATTAATACAAAATGGTTATACTCATTATTAACTATCAAAACAAACTTTCAGCAGTTAGTTCTTATGGATTTGAATTGTTTCAAGTGTGATTACGCATTGGTTTCAACTAGATAAGCGTTGAAAACCAACAGGGAGTACTGGAGAGCTGTTTCGTTCCAGTTTGAGACTCATCATCAGTACTCACCGGTTACCAGGGAAGTTCGTAGACCTGTCAGCCAGTAGGATCCGATTCCTTCTAGACATTTAATCTGTTACTCTGCAGTAACTGACTACAGGATGAAGTTTCCTGGAGTTCTAGTGTCAAGTCGCAACTCGCAGGGTCCACAGAGTCAGGTAAGAGGACAGTTATTCCCCGGTGACACTGGCTGGCGCCATTGGCGCTAAATCACCACTCGGTAGGATTTAGAATTCATGCGCCGGCCATTGAGTCGGGTCCCAGTGGCTGAATGATCTATGAGATTGCCTTGTAACGTGAAGACATTCGATTCGAAACCTAGTAGGTGTGTAATACCAATGAGTCCCAGAACGAGGATGAAACATCTGTCGGTTTTCAATGCTTCTCTAACTTATGTCAATCCGTAGTGAAACTTGGAACACACACTTGAAACAAACAATGATTTATTAGAATTCAAGGACCATTGGATCGGGTCCCAGTGGATCAATGGTCTACGAGCTCGCTTTGTAACCAGAAGGTCCTGGGTTCGAATCCCGGTGGGCACGTACTGTGAAAAGTCCCAGACTAGGACGAAACAGCTGTCGAGTACTCCCAGGTTTTCCAGTGGTTCTCTAAGTGATGTCAGCTCATGATGAAATCCTCCATGCATGATTTATTATCTTATACTTTTCCAATAATTATACTTTTATTATAATTATAGGCTATGATTCTTGGTGTCCCTGTTATTGCCAGAGAAAATCCAGGTAATTGTGATCTGATTAAACATAAAGAAAATGGTTTGATATTCAAAACATCCAAGGTGAGTTGATAATGTACATTGGTAAAAATGAAAGAGAAAGAGAGAGAGAGATAGTCTTTTGCTAGCTAAAACAAAATTATTTATTAATATTATACTTTTCTTTTAAAAAAACCTCTATATGTATATATTTAATTCATTGTAGATAGAAATTAAGTTACATTAAAGAATGGAATGTATAAAAGTTAATCTATCTATAGGCAATAAAATGGGGTTTTTTCTCGTTTGTAATTATCAAAATAATTAAAATAACATTTTTTAGAATTGAAATAAATCTTTACATAGATTGTGTGTGTGTATATCCTACTGATGACTAGTGTATTTGAGTAGTAGTACGGTTTCTAAAGTACTTAGAGTAGGGCTATCATTGCCCTGTCTAGTTACTCTTGAAATTATTGGATAGTAATATGGACAAAGAAACATACAGGTAGTACAGTGGTTGATTAAGCTTTGGTAACACTCCTGCTAGGTGACAACATTTCATTTACATATGATATGTAAAATACATGAACTTTATCTGAAGTCTTTCCTGATTGCAGTAGATTGGATAATGCGACAGACAGCGGGCAATGAGGAAACAGGCATAAAATGGACCCACACAAAAAACTTGGAGGATCTTGGACTTCGCCAATGATATATGTCTGATTTCCCACAAACTGGAAGATATGCAAGCGAAAAGCAACAATTTGGTAGAAGAAGCATCAAAGATAGGACTTCAGGTGAACATAGAGAAAACAGGGGTGATGAACATTCCGGGGCAACACCACCAACAGACAACAATCAGCATAAATGGGAGGAAACTAAAAGAAACAACCTCCTTTACCTACCTGGGAAGCATCGTTTCAACTACAGGCGGAACTGACGAGGATATCAAAGCAAAACAAGCTTTCATTACTCTCAAGTCTGCGTGGAGGTCGACAGCACTGAGCATAAAAAAACAAGATCCGGATTTTTAACTCCAATGTGAAGTCAGTGCTACTTACCACACGGATCAGAGACTTAGCGCCGCGTCACGAAGGGCACTTTGAACAAACTACAGACCTTCGTTAACAGCTGTCTTCGCTCAATACTTATAGTTAGATGGCCGGCTAGAAAAGATCAGCAACAGAGATCTCTGGAAGCAAACCAACCGGGAGCCGATTGTGCAGCAAATAAGCAGGAAGAAACGGAGATGGATTGGCCATACTCTGAGAAAACGAACCATCAAGTGACATCACTAGACAAGCCATAGCTCGAGTGGAACCCGAAAGGGAAGCGGAGAGTTGGTCGTCAGTGCAAGGGTGACTTGGAGAAGGTGATTTGAAGAGGAGATGAAATCATGTGGGCAGACTTGGAGCCAGATGAAGACTCTAGCAGAGGACCGAACGCAGTGGAGACGCACGGCTGAAGACCTATATTCCTCTAGGAATTGAAGGAAATAATAATAATGTATTTGAAGTCAGTGTGCCGTTGGCAAATAGTGTTATTTTTTCTTACATAAAACGTTATAACCACTTAATCGTCTGAGTCATTTTAAACTACCCCAAGATGATGACATCTTCTAAGCTAATGGTCAAAGTGAGCTTATGATAAAGCTCAAATTTCCTAGCGAGTCATACAATCCATCAATCGGTAGTGTTTTCATCATTTGAGTTCCTGCATAGTTATTTCATATTTATCTTCAGTAATTTTTTAGCAGGACCTTCGTCATATGATGGATACATTGGGATAACTTAGTACCGCACCACCACTCTGATATCTTGTTAAGTATTTTCGCCTTGAAACTGACAGAAAAATGTATAGTTCTAATCTTACTCTATCATTGTTTGAGTGAAAAAACAACTTTCTTAAAATGTGTTAAGACAGACAAGCTTCTTTGTTAGCCGTGATTTTTGCATGTACGGACAGGATAACCTGATAACACAGTTTTTGACTCGTTTATTCATTGTCTAATATTCTGAGAGATTTCAATGTTTGCTCATGTATGGCTCAAACTTCTGAGGGTTTGTAAATATGATACACCATTTTATTTTGTCTAATAAATATCACGGGGTTTGTTGTTGACGGTTGCCGTCATTGCTTCTCCCAGTCTGACTTCTGTATCGGTCTCAATGTAGGGGATATTTTCAAGTGGTCGGTTGATTACAATATCGTGTCTTGAGGTGCATTCTAGTCAAGATAGACGGCCACACAAATTCAGTAACACTCCATTATAACATATTTTGTAGACAGTGTTATTCACTTTAATGTGTAGCTATAACAACATAAAAATCCATCATGTCAACTGATTTGCATACGATTTTCTGACTCCTTTACAATGATAACAGTACCTCATCACAATAGTTTTCGTAATGAATATCACTTACACACGTTACCTGTATTCCTGGAAAACATTTTGATGCTCTTTTATATGCATCACGAATTTTCGCAATTCCAATTAGAACTCGTGACAGGTGAGGTACATACGTGAGGTATGAGGAGATAATATGTCAAGTTCACTTATAGTGGTGATATATCACAAATCGTCAAAGTTGAGACTCCTAGACTACTGCGCTGAAATCGATGAACTGTAAGCAACTCATCATGTGGCTTGAGTTTGATCCATGGAGAGGCAGTAAATGAGCACTACCGTAAAGCACCAAACTAGGATGAAAAATTTTTGTAGTTGACTTCGGTGAGTGATAAAAATAGGCAACTAGGATAATAAATTTAAGTGTTTCCATAATAAACCGTTCAATTAACGAGGATGAGAAAATCTTTGCTTAGTCTGCATTGTATGAGGGTAGCGTTTTACCAAAAAAGAGTTTTTCAAAATTTAAGGAAAAAAAATAATCCATTCTATAGCTGAGTTTTGCAGCTTACCGTATCCAGTGGAGGTCAGTGGTTTGAGATGTGTTATTATTCACACTTTAATTTTAATTTCAGTGATTACATCACTGGATTTAGTCAGTTTGTTGGAAATAGTCTGATTGTAAAAAAGAGGTTTACTTCCACTCTTACACAAATGATAAAAGATTGTTAAGGAAACCGGCTGAATTTTTAATGAAACGCTGGAAATCTACTCATTTAAATTTATGAAAATATTTAAGTTGGTTATGGTATAAAGTAGTCAGTCAATAGATAAACAAATGAAACTATAACAAACTGTAATGACTCTTCTTAGCATTAACATTAAAATATCTTCTCTTACTTCCTTAAGTTCCAAGTGAAATATATGGGCCGAGGGTTGAGGTTTGAAGTTGCGGTGGCGGGAGTGTATTGTTTTACGGAGCGGGGTGGCTAGCATCACACCCAATCTCTTTACAAGGCTTACTGCCGGCTAGTCAAAACTGAGGAGTGCATCAGTCGGAAATCAAACACCGGACCACATGCGTGATAGGCAAGCAATCTACCACTGTACCACCAAAGCAATAACACTTAGGGTAATCTATCTAGTCTTTATGGGGTACATGGTGACTGAGCAGAAAAAATTATAGCAGATGATAAGAAGAAAAAGACACGGCGTGAAAGTGACAGTATTTACGAGTTTATATATATATATATATATATATATGGTTAAAAGTAATAACATCATCCACATTCGGATTAACGTATTTTTTCTGGGGAATCAGGAAACTCTGAACTATAGCAGCCTAAAAGAAGGACCATAGCAATGACCTTGATAAATTTTCACCAACCATTCAGATGGGCCCGAAGTAAAAGCGCATAATTTAGTTTTTATTTACAGAAATCTAATGCAGTGTTAATAAATTGTTGTAAAGTGTAACGTCCTAGTGCGTGTTACAAGAAAACCTCGCAATGGCTTATTGAATTCTTTACTGATAGGTCAAACCAAATTCATCCAGAAATCTGTTTATCATCTCCTTTTTGAGTGATTCCAAAAACCTTCGATGAAGTTTGTTTCTCATAGAAAATACTAACAAAATCATCTACATAATTGACCACATTGTGAGTATAACCAATAGACAACAGTTGACTTTAACTACTCTTTAGGTCTATGCATGCCTGGTAGCACTAAGCGTTGGATAATAGGTAAAAAAACATTAATGCTATGACCACTGTTGTGTCATACAATCCCAAAATCGATTTCTGATTTGGCACTCAATTTACACATACCCATCGAGAGTGGTTACATATCGCTATAAATACATTACTCCTCAGCATCTACATGTTTTATCCCTTTCTATAAGCCTATTATCCAAACAGTACAGAAATGTCAGATCTGAATGGAATCTGCAATGTTGTAATTCGTGTACTGCATGCACTATTCCGCGTATTTACTATGGGCTAATCTGATTGATCAAGGTTATTATTACATCCATCCACTTGGGTCGCTATAGTTTACACTTACCGGAAATTATATTTATGATTAGAGTAAATAATGTCAGATATTCGTTAAATATACACACATACTATCAATAAAACTATGGTATTTATTTCACTTAATTTAGGAGTTTGGTGAGTGTTTAACTCAACTAGAAGGAAATCCTCAATTGAGAAAACAACTCATCTCTTCAAGTGAATCATTTATTGAAGGTAAAGAATTTCAAAGAGAACATCAAGCGAAATTATATTCACAAATAATACAAGAATATTTCAATTCCCATTCATGATTTATCAACAACTACACCAATAACAGAAAATGAATTCATTCGATTGTAACTTTCATCTTCTTTCTACTGACTTTTATATACATCAAAATTTATTGTTAAATCAATAATTCTTCCTCTTATATTTTTTTTAATTTATTAGTTTTTACTAATAATTGCAATTTTACACTAATATATATATTTTTTCATTACAAAAATACAGACGCTTAGTAATGATCAAAATAAATTTTTTAATTGTTTCAATGTTCAAGATTGCTTTTGTTCCTTAATAACACTGGTTGTAGAATCGTTAACTGGTCATTTACGAGGCAACTAATTTTGTGAAAATCAGTCAGATTCCGGAAAAATAAATAACTTCGTGCATATATATGGTGTAATAAGCAGAAAATTAATAAATCTGAAAATGTGTCATGCAATCCTGAGTATATTATGTATAAAGGGAACACTCATTCAGTTCAGTTATAACAAACGTCTTCGGTGAGTATTTGTCCTCACGATCGACCCGCTGTACCCTATTGGTTCTCTAACCGATGAAATCCTTTAAGAATTTCTTGTTAAGATAAGTCGTATGTAGCAATTTAGTCTCTTCTCTAGTGAAAATCGCTGATCCGTGCCTATGAATTTATTGGTGATTCTACTTTACAAATAGAAATCTAGCAAATTATATATATACATATATATATATATATATATATATATATATATATATATATATATATAAAGTATAAGTAAGTGAGTATGAATAAGTATAAGTGTGGTGAGAGCTGGCTGCTAGCCAAAGTTCGTAGACAGTAAATGACGTCAATGTTTGTCCTTAATATTGGTGGTGAGAAAATGAGAACAAAGGCTTTGCGTAGGCGGACACAGTTAGCATATGGATGATCTGACACAGCCACAAGAGATGCAAGGTTAACTTTCTGTGAGAAACCACCAATCAAAAGACTGCATTTTTTACTAACAATAATGTACATTAAAATCTATAAATATGTGTTGATTTTCTTTAATAAACGATCTGTTGCCTGGCCCTTGTCTTCTGTTGTTACATAAGTTTCCCATATCAGAAGCTCGAGAACAGCAGACTTAGGAAAATCAATGAAACTCCAGACTTGAGTTAGTTAGACCTTCTGTTTATAACAAGGTTAGTAGAATCTTTTGAGCATGTTCTCCACACTTATTAAACATATAACAACATCAAATTATCTTAGTGCTAGATACACAAGAGATGTCAGTACTCAAAAGCAAGAACTTCGATTACTGCACATATATCCCCTCCCTACTGTCTTTGAATATTTGAGCTAGTTTCATGTCCTTACTCCGTCTGATCAATGAAATAGCATGCTGTTTGAATTTGTTTTTATTGTGCTAAACAATAGTGCGATTTGAATCACTGCACTGTGGTACAATATAGAAACTAAATCTTTCTTACCACAGTATTAAACTGAAAAGAAAAAAGCTCAGATAGTAGATGAACACAAGTCAGTGTATATATCGCTTTATTATGCAAATCGCCAACAATTAATGAAAGAAATATCCTTGTCGACGAGTTAATCGACATAAAACTCAGTTGTATTGTGGTGAGAGCTGTCTACTAGCTAAATTGGTAGACAGTAATTTACGTCAATGTTTACGTTCTCAATATTGGCCGTGAGAAAATATGAACAAAGACTGATTCAAAAACCGACCACAGTAGACTTTGCGTAGGCGGATATAGTTAACACATAGATGATCTGACATTCAAGAAACAGTCACAAAGAGATGAAAGATTAACTTTAAGTGAGGAACAACCAATCAGAAGACTGTGTTTGTTTGCTTAAATAATCTATAATAATGTACATGAAAATATATAAATATGCTTTGATTTCCTTAATAAACGATCTGTTGCCTGACTCTTGTCTTCTGTTGTTACAGTATAACCTTATCAAATAATGAAATACAGCACGAATTGATTGGAAATGAAGACAAATGCTTTTGCATCGATAAGCACGCGAAGGAGTTCTAGATCCAACTTTTGAAAGACACAACTATTGTAGAGAGTATAGAATCAAGAAAGCAAGGTGGATTACTAAATAAATAATTCCAGTTTTAAAATGTTCAACAGTACTTCTGTAACAACAAAAGACAACGGCAAGACAACATACCATTTATTAGGGAAATCAACACATATTTATACATTTTCATGTACATTATTATGGATTATTGTTAACAGAAAAACACAGTCTTCTGATTGGTTGTTTCTCATCTCTTTTTGGCTGTTTCTTGAATGTCAGATCGTCTATATGCTAATTGTATCCGCCTACGCAAAGTCTGCTGTCGTTGGTTGTTGAATCAGTCTTTGTTCTTATTTTTCTCACGACCACTATTGGGGACGTAAACATTGACGTAGATTACTGTCCACCAATTTGGCTAGCAGCCTGCTCTCACCGCACTTCCACTTTAAATTCAAGTTATGCCTACAGATATCAAAAAGATAAATTCTGACCAGTAATGTCCACTGAATGTAAAAAGGACTTTCTGTATGAATAAATTAACGGTAAGATTGTATAGACTGTCGGGTCAATTCGAGAAGCTGTTCAAAGTTGCATCAAACCTTAAATCCTTAGTTAAAATTGCATGTAAGCAATGAAAGATGATACGAACTTTTAAAGTCTTTGAAATCACATTTTAAAGTTATTATTCAGCATGTTTGCATACTAAAATGACCATTAACAATTGTATTGGACACCCTCGGTCTTGAATAGATTGAACAAGGGTAACAACATGTATGGCGACCAAGAATTTATAAGGTAAATGAGAGTAAAGTAGAAATTTAAAACTCATTAATGAACAAAGAATATTCTTTCCGATAAATTCATCATCAGGTTCTACATTTACATGACCATAGTAATTAGACAAAGTTATTAACAGCATTAATGTTTTAAATTACATTAAACTAAGTGTTTACAGATTACATTTCAAAAGCATCATTAAGAGACATATTATGTATTATTATAACGCTAAACTGGATATCAAATAAATTAAGGGAAGCAATACAGAATTCAATATCCGATAGATGATGGAGAAAGACTCTTCAATGCTTTGTGGCATGTTTGAACAAGATAAACTAGTATAGAAATGTTCATTGTTTAAATAAAGCCTTTACTTAGCTACACTGGTTGGTGTTGCCGAGCACGAAAAACGAAGATAATTATAACTTATATGATTATGAATAATAAATTTTGTTCGAAACGTCATCCAGTAAATAATACTGTTTCACTGTGTGATACATCTAAGAAACGAACTAATATGGAAAAACGAAGTTCCTAGAGCAATGACCGATATAACTGGCTCCACAAGAACAGTTGAATTGATCAGTGCAGTTAGAGGTGGCTAACCAAGGTATTTCGTCTTTTGGTTTCGGAATCACAGACGCTTGTGGGGAAATGTGGATTTCAGCTTCGACGTTGAAAATATGACTGATTGACAGATTCTAACAGTCACGAAGTCAAAGTGCAGAGCTTTCCACAGGCGGCCCCCGACCACCTAACGGTTAATACATATATAACGGTAGAAGACAAAAAACTTGGTAAAGGAATGTTTACTTGGTATCGTTATATAGCAGAATTACGTACACCACATCTTCAACGCACCATTCGCACAGATCTTTCGTATCGTGCTAATTCTGGCCTTCATATTGTGCTCCTCTCACGTTTCTCCGCAACGCCAAATCATTTTCTTCTCTGACATCAAATGTACCTCCATTATTTCATATTTTTATGCCGATTGACGTCTCTTCATATACTACGGACAAATCTTATCAGTAGTACACGCCACATGAATACTTATGCTGATGAGCCCGGTCCTAAACGAGATAAACTGCCGTTCGGTGTTTCGATCACTTCAATAAGCTGGCTAGCAAGCATTACTGCTTGATGTAGGCAGTATACAACTAATCATCTCAACCAATCAGTAACATGTGTGGTTTACAGCATTTACGCTTAGTTCCTTGATTGCCATTAATGATATCAAGCAGACAACACATATTGTAGTTTGAACAAACTTGGTTTCCAAATGAAACTGTAATGAAATAATCATCTCAAAGTAATTTGCTGATTGTGAATTTGATTTATTTGACATCCAGCTGTTTCAATAGCTCGATATAGCTATACGATTAATAATGGTGGAGAGAAACATGAGGTTGTTTTCACGTTCATATCCTTGAAGCAATCACTCAAGATAATAGTTAGTCAACTGTTTTCTGAATCGCTGAAATCCTTCAATTATAATATTTCGTGTTATAACAAAGATTTTTGACATTTCTGTCCCAATGACGTTCTTCTTACTGATACTCTAAGGGTTTCAACTTGACCAGCATCAACATCAGAGTACAGTAGACAAAAACCGAGAGATTACTAGGCTTTCAAAATAGGAACAGTATAATGCGCGCGCAACGCATGAGCAAAACTTCATGGATTAATTGTGTAGAAGACCAAGTCCTTTACAATATTTATGTAGTCAGGAAAATTTATTAGATCAAGTAATTTTTGCATATATATATATATATATATATATATATCTGCACAAACACATCAGAGAAAATACGAGCACAATGACGCTGCCTCAACAAATGAATGATTTGAACAAAAATATGAGGTGCATGCAGTGATTACGAATAAATTACAATGCGTCACCTATAACGAAACGCGACAAACTGGGACAATGATGCTTCAATCAAACAAAACAAAACAAAAAAATCAAAATTTGAACAATGATAAACTGAAAATAAATTGATTTTAGAAAATATATATATATGCGTAGCGTATTAACAGGTTAAAGATTTACAAGAATTTAAAAGAAGCTGTTTAAAATACAGGCCGCCTTTCAATATATATAAATATATACAGAAGATATAAGCCTCTATAATTTTTACAAGAAACTTGAAAATAATGACTGAAAAACAAAACAACCGGGATTAACAAATTCGAATTAAACGGTATCCAGTTAGAAATGCATGAAAAAGGAAAGCAAAATAAGCAATAATGAAGGTAGGATTAATGATTCATAAAAGCATTAGACACAGCAGCAATAGCAGCAGCACAGACCGATTATTGATAGGAATTTACATTAAATGTAAGTATCTATGCTTGGTACATTATAAATAATCTGTCAAAATAATTCTTTGTACAATAAATAAATAAATAAACAAATAAAAGGTATCCACAGGACATTAATCCGGTAAAACCATTTCGGTTGCTGAATATTACTGTACATTTGACAGACCGGCAATCACTAGTTAAAGCATCAGAGATATGAGAGATGAGGTAAGCGCTGGTACAAAATATGTAACAGACAAACGCATAATACAGACATTTTATGTCACTGATGAAGTAAGTCTCTTTGGAAGCCTTGATATGACAGATAAAATACTCACAAACTAATTTATTTACAAAAATTAAAATAATGTTATCAAGGACAAAAAATTGAAAGATGTGAACGGATGGTTAACTGGTAAACTGAAGGCAATGATGAAAGAAAGAAAAAATCTGTACAGAAATGCTAAACGAGCCCAAATTGGCCAATGAAGAACTGTTAGATAATCAAATAATGAATGGAATATGATGAGTGCGGATCTAGGAGACAAATTGTTGAAAATAAACGAGTCTGATGTCAGAAAATGTGTTGCGAGCAACACGCTCAATCTTATTGAAATCAAATCAGTAGTATATACCATAAAAGAAAACAAATTTAACAGATCACCCATTTTTATAAAGAAAATCAACACACAGCTCCATTGTTGTTAGCTGATGACGGATCATTAGTTGATCTTGTCCTTCGTGAGACACAACCCACTTTAGTTAGATTCAGCTGAGCTTGAAGACTATCACGAATTCGTAAAAGAGTTTGCTCCACTGAGTCAAAATGACCCGTGACTACATCAGGATGATACGAAAGACTTTCATTGTCTTTTGAGTTTTTCGAAGGATGCTTAGATATTGTACAAGAATACTTCCGAGTACTAGATACACGATTGCCAGAAACTCGATGATGCCAAGGAGCAGAGCTATGCCTTTCTCGGGCATATGACCGACTCTCCTGCCATACACGTATCTCATTATCTCTTTGTATGAAGTATTCTAGTGATCCAGGTACAGGGGCTAGGTTATCTCCAATATTTTTATCAGCATTATAATACGGAGCAATCGGACTATTCGAAGAAATAGGATATCCAGAAAATGAAGGCATAGGAGGTGGTGGTGGTGGGGGCACGCTTCCAGGCGAAACTACTAAATTGCGATGTTTAAATTCTTCAAAGTTAACTTTCTTTTCGTAATAATTCATTCTATCAAAATGCGATGGTCTAGTAGACACTAAAGAATAATGAGATGTATTTTGATAACCACGTCTTAAATTTTCAGAGCCAGAACGACCCTAAAATCAAAAAAGACACAAATAATGTTACAGAGTCAAATGAGAATTAACTATACTGCGGCCGAAAACATTTTACAAATACGAAGTAGGCAATGCTATTTACAGCTTTGGATATCCTTAAAACAAAACGATGAACACTCAGAATGATGCTTACTTGAATAAATTAATTCTAATCTTTATTTAAAACAATTAGTTCCCTTTATGAATAAAGATAAAGCAATAAGAAGACGTAATTTGTCTGAATCGTGCAGTGTATTTGCGCAACACATTTCGACCAATCTGATCACACACACACACTAACTTGTCATAAGAATATATATGAAATTAATAAAAAGGTAAGAGGTGATAAAATAGGCTTAGGTCAAGTTAAAAGGACATATTCAAGGTCAAAATAACAATGAAGACCACTAAACCAAATAGCAGAGGTAATAGTACATCTGCCTAACTGGTATCAAAACAAAATTTACCAAGGAAGGTTTAATGTGATGACGAATTGTTTTTGAACGCATAAAGGTGGTTTAAACTGTTTAATTGCTAGGGCTTCCACAAACTTTAGGATATACCCCAAACACGTGTTATAGATAGGTTTAAGAGATCTGTTAACGTCAATTTTATGTCCTGTCTCTATAATATGTTTCGCAATAGAAGAGCTAGGTCTCCTGTTCTCACCATTAATGGGTTCTGAAGATTCCATTTGTTTTTGGAGCCATTTAGGAATACGCTCTGAAACCAGCCCTTACTTGCAGAGAACGATGAGTCCTCCCTATGTATGTGTCCACACGTACTTTCAAATTGGTAAATAGAGTGGGATGTGACGTCATTTTTCGCATGTTCGAAGGGCTTAGATAGATATATTGGCTTTACATTCTCTATTATTATGATATTAGCTGCATAAAGTCTTTTTAACAGCAGCGTTCAGTCTTTGTCTAGTTATCAAGCTGCTATGATGCCCATATATAGGGTAGCTTGATATGCACGTCTTTCTTAGGGGCGAGTTGTACAGTGGGTCTTGGTGTTCTGACCACTTTATATATCCGGATGAACTTGTCTGGATAATTGTTATCAACCGGAGTTTGTGTCAACTTTCTTTATTCTCATCATTTAGTGAAACCTAAGATTCACATGAGCAATATATATATATATATATATATATATCAGTTCACACTTGCTTTTCCTAAAACTTTTATTCAGTTGTTTGCCCTCATAATTAAGCCAACTTCAGACAAAGAAAAGGTTAAACTAATAATCATAGTGTGACGTACCCTTTTTAAATCCATTCTACAAAATAAATATCCGAAGTATGCGAAAAAGAATGGAGATGTTATGACATCTTACTTACATGGTCAAATTCTTTTATACGATATACGTCATGCAAAAAGTTTTCACATTCAAGGAATTCTGAAGGACCGAACATATTATTTGGATAACGAGATTTAGAAATATTGTTTGGGTTCATATCCGGTTGTGAACTAACTGTGAAAGCTGGCTTTTGTCTTTCAACATGGGAGTCTGAAAGAACAGATTTCGGTGAACTCTGAGTTGAAAGTACTTTACCGGGAAACTTTACATATGGTTCAGGTGAACTACTCAAAGCTCCTTTACTGATGAAGTTAACAGAATCTACGCCTTCAGTATCTTCTTCGTCATCATCATCTGGCGGTTCGCTTGGGGTACGAGGTCCACGCTCATTTATCTTTGAACCGATAAAATCCCGTTTGTTATCGACTTCCGATGTTTTCTCCGTGTGTGAATAAGAGATTTTGGAGTCACTGTAATCATGAATAACTTCAGATTTGGTACTCAGTGACTTTATATTTTGCAGTAATTTGTCAGGAATATTTGCATCTATGGATGGTTTGGATTCATTGTGAAGATGCGGCAACTCAATAAGCAGTCGACTAGGGCTGAGCAATGGTGGTGGGATTGTTATTTCCAAGTTATCAATGTTTGGACTTGATTGTTTCAATGATTCTTTCAACTCTTTGTTGTTCCGTTCCGCAGCAGGTGAAACAGGTGTAACGGGCAAACCGCGTCGGCGGCGGTATTCTGTGAGTGAAACACGAACTTTAGGCATTTCTTGCAATTGCGACTCTTCAGTTTGTTGCTTTACTGTCGCTTTCTTCGGCGGAAGCTGAAGAAAAGGAAATACAAGGTTAATAACTTCAATTCACTCCAAGAAACAAATTCTTCATGAAATATCTAACAGAGAATGATATAGTGCGATTACGAATACAACTATTTATGACTACATAAACACAGTGATGCTCGCTATATGTCAAAAAAGTCAATTCAAGGCAAAAGAAAGTGAATTAAGCAACGGCAGATATTGAGTGTAATGAAAATGATTTAATATGAGGAAGAGAAGCAACTTACCGACGAAATGAAAGAGCGATTAAATCACATAAATTTAAAAAAGCCTTTTTCAGTGAATAGTTGATTTCATTATCAAATCATTGTGTACATCATGAATGTTAGACAGTTAATTCAGAATATTAAGATGTATTTATAATATTCAGAAAGATTATTTAGTCTATGTTTGATTTAGAATATACCCATAGATAATTAAACAACATATTTGAAGACATCAAATTCACAAGAGAAGAAGAATTAGATAACAAAATCTCATTTTTAGATGTCTTAATCAGGAGAACCAACACAGGAGATTTAGAAACACAAGTATATAGAAAATCAACGCACACAGATCAAATACTCAACCATACTAGCAATAATCCAATTACTCACAAACAAAACTTTGTGCAGACATTGTTTAAAATGGTTCAGACACATTGTAGCACTCCAGAATTGAAAAGAATGAAAGAAAAGTACCTACAAACGGTCTTCAAAAAGAATGGTTATCCACAAAATTTCATCAAAAAGTGTTTAAAGTCGAATCAAAACAACAACAAAGAACCATCATCAAAAACCACAAGAAAATTCATTCTACCATACATGAAAAATATCTCTGAAATAACAGCTACAATACTGAAACCGTTTGATATAGATATAGCACACAAGCCAGTCAAATCGCTTAATTCGATATTATGCAAACCGAAAGATTCAACAGAAAAAGGGGATAAAATTAATACCATTTACAAAATAAATTGTATGAACTGCAACAAACATCGGCCAAAGTGGGCGTCCCTTCGAATCAGAATCCAAGAACACAAATCAGCCGTGAAAAGACACGATATATATTCTTTAGTATCAATGCATATAGACAATAATGGTCATCAATTTGATTGGGATAATGTCAAAATCTTAGACAGAGGAAACATCAAAAGTGCCAGGGAATTCCTAGAAGCCTGGTACTCAAACAAAAATGCAATTAACAAACACGTTAATATAGACGAAATATACCAACTAATAAAAAGTAAATCAGGTGACCAGAGAGTTTAAAATCCAAGTCAATAGAAAATGGTCAATACATATGTAAAGATGGTTACCACTCATGAAGAAATTTAATTCATTTCACTTTATGCTAAATATTGCGCTGAAGATGTTGTCCAGAAGGACGACGAAAGCCCTGTAACTAAACCAACCAGCTCAGAGAACACCATTAATTACAAATGTTTGATGATGCCAACAGGTATCAATAATGTAATTTCATTTCCATATAAAGTTATTGTAAAATACTTACCGGAGCAGAATGAGATGACGACGACGCTTCAGTAGATTCATCATCTTCTGGTAACTGAGAAACACCTACAGAGTCTTCATTACGAGTCCCCAGATTATCCTCTGATTCTTTAATTATATGATCTGGTGAATATTGAGATTCTAAATGTTGAGGATTTTCATCAACTTCATGATGAAGGCAATTAGAGGCGTCTTCAGAAATCTCTGAAAGTCGAGAAATCATTCTCTTTTTAGGGTTTACAGGTGTTACGCATGTACTTTGTATACTTGATGAAGAATCCACCTTGACATTGGATGATGAACTGTTCATCGGATGAGAAGAGTTTAACATTCGATGGTTAGCCAGTTCTACATCTTCCTCCATAAGCGCCTAAATTAATTAACAAAATGAAATGAAAAACGGACTAATAGATAAAGTTTTAATGGTAATTAAAAAGTGGGAAAGGAATCGTGACTAACACAAACTATCTAATGATGAATACATTTTATTGTTGGTAATTCAGACTCAACTTCCACCTCTTACAACACAGAAATAAAAAGTCATCACAGATATTTCCGGATGCAGTTTTTCCGTAACGTCTTAGTCTTCTTATAGAATAAACTTCGTTTCAGTTATACTTAAATTTGAAGTCATTTAGGTTTCTACAATTCGCTTAAATGGTGTCCTTAACGACACTATAAACTAATTTAGACTTTCCTGTAAACGCTATCGAATTCACTTCTAGTCACATATGAGGCTAGTGCATTTCCAGCTGAAAAAAGAAAGTGAGTTGCGACAATCAGATAATACTTCTCAACCAAAAGCCCCATAGAGCATGAAAACTATCAGTAAAACAAAATAGTCAGAATTTGTAACGTTGCAAAACACAATTAAACTGTGCTTACCATATGGATAATGACTCAGACTATTTACTACAATACTGATAAATATATTACTGCAACAGAGTACTTAATTAGCATCTTATCAGACCTTAGAAATCTATAACATGAAATAAAGATGAGGAATTGCGTCTCATTGAATATAGTTACACAGTTCCAAAGTAGGCTATCTAAGGTTGCCAATTACTCCGACTGTGGTATTAATTGTGTCGATCAGAAACAATCATGTTTAGTAAGTCTAATCACTAGACCAATATAATGTATTTAAAGCTAATGTATTTTGGTGACTGGGCATCGGTGATGCAGCGGTAGGATGCCCACCAACCACGCAAATGGTCCGGGGTTCGATCCCCAGTCGACGCACTCCTAAACGTTGCTTGGCCAGTAGTAATTCCAGCAAACAGGGAAGGTTAAGTGTAAAACAAAACACCCCCACTACAGAAACTTCAAAGACGGAGCTTGAATACATGTGTTTCACTCGGAACACAAAGGAATAGAAAAAATCTTGGTGACTAACTTTGAGATGGGCTTTAATGATCAGTGAGGTTCATTAAATTAGATTGGACAATGAATACTCGCCGGTGGCATTGAATGGTAGTGGTAATTTATCTTGGAAATTGACAAAAGCTGAAAAGCATACGCTATCTGATTTCCATGCAGTGGTTGAATGATAATAATACCAACCTGATAACCTGGTAATTATTAGTGAGGCGACCGTAGAACTTCACACTACCGTGAGACATCTTTTAGTCAGTGCTCATACTTGTGAAGCGATTGGATCTCAGATTTCCAGAAATCTAAGGACTTACACTTAATTTTTGGAACCTGACAAGCAATTGGAATATTCTTTGACCTAAAGGAGGTGACATGATGTCCGAGAAATTTTGTAGCATATTATACCGAGTTTTTACGCGTACATCATGAAAACTTATTCAACATAACTGTATGTAAGTGGATACACTTAGCAATGAGCCACATCTATGACGTAGGGGACCGGTGAAATTTCCAACACCTGGGTAGCTGGAGTGGGGTCTGAACATGTGATCCACTGGCTGAAAGTCAAATGTCAAATCCAATTAACCACAAAGTAATTCACCAAAGCATCAGAAACTGAAGGTGGCTCGTAACACTGGTGCATTAGAAATGTATACACGAGAAAGCTAAAGTGCATTATAGTTTCTGCAAATATTCTTACAATAACATTCGCACAACCAAAATTGTAATAATTAGAAAGTCACTTCCAGAAAGCCTAATTATTAAAATAAATTTTTGAAGGTCGGCAATTAAATTAAAATTTCAATTTAACTAACCCGAGATAACCAACGTTTCTTTGTAGGTCTGGGAGGCTGATGTAACATACGTTGCGTCAAACAGGATACCGAGATATCATCAACAGTGTAGCAGTCTTGTTTTGTATCAATCACGTCATTGTTTGAAATTTCATCATGAATTTTTGTGAACAAGGAATCCATTTCAACTGAACGAGTTCTACTAAACTTGGCCATTGGATCCTTTTCTCGAGTTCGATAAACTATGAAACCGCAGTCAGCCTCAGAATCAAGGACATGCTGGTTGTTACTAACCTGATTCGAACATTCGGTATCAATATTAACAGATGTCTTGTTGAGGCTAGAATTTCCACCATTTTTTTGTTCATTTTCAGACGACTCACTCCTAACACATAAAGCTTCAAATAGTGAGACTCTAACATTCGATCCATCTCCAATAGGCGTATCTGATACCGAATGATTTCTCTCATTATTCTCCAAATCTGATGAAGTGTGTTGAGAAGTCTCTTCATGATTATCTTCTAACTCAGCGATACGTCGAAGTTGCATTTGTAGCCAACGATCTTCACGTGAACCACCTTGATCAATGGTAGATGATAAACTGTCAGAAAGCATAGCTGCTTGGGAACGCCGACGTCTACGTCTTGTTGACGAAGAATTGCGTTCATAGTCACCAGGTCGATTTCGTCGCTTACTTTGGGATACAGCAGGTTGAATGAAGTACTTTGTCCGATGGTCTGTACTGCTTTTCTCTAGAATACTTGTTCTATCTACAGATGGGTACACATCTTCTTCCTCTTTGGTCTCTTGTAATGCTGCAGATTGTTGAAGATCAGATTGATAGCTAGATAATTCAAACTTTTCGAAAATATCAGTTGACTGAGCGAAATGCTCAGTCTGTTCCTCATTCCCCGTTACACCGATGCAATCCTCAGTCGATCCATTTATTTCAAACTTTTGTTCAATCTTAGAAGCATCGAAGGATTCTTTAATTTCTTCACTTATTGTATCACTGTTACTTATGTTATTATTATTACTGTTATCTGATATTGAAGAACTTTCAGGTTTCTCAGGAGACAGTGATTCTGATTCACTTTTGGTATATTCAACATCTTGATCACCTTTCAGATTACCAGATGGCATACGTTGTTTTAATCGTTTCTTTTCCATCCGCTCAATACGACGCAATACCTCTGCCATCCATACATCCTCCTTTGATTTCTAAAAAAAGGAATGAAACAATTAGTTTTTATAATAAACCAGAATAAAATGTATCACAACTCGAAAATAAGTAAATAGCTGGTTAGTTATAAATTAGTCTAACATCTAGATATACTTTGAAATATGAATTACACCTCGAAAGCAAACTTGAAAATTAGATGCACTGAGAAATGTAAATCAATTAGATAATCAAACACTGCTACACCTTAGATACATGACGATGTCTTGTTAAAACTGTCCATGCGAAAGGACACCGTAATTATGACGGGAAATTTTTCGGTATCACTATTATGCTGTACAAAGTTTTAAGAATGTTGATATCTCATAATCATATCTGAGCTAATCTAAACTAGTGAAAAGTTTATAAATGAAAAATCTAGGAGACATTGATAGTACCTTAACTGATGACTTTGAATATATGCATATATATATATTCACCCCAGGTAATACATTGCTCAACACACTCCCTTGAGGTTACAACAGGATATGTTCTTTATGATCAACAATCCAAGCGATACTTATGAGACTGTTTCAGATTTTAATACAGCAACTAGTACCTTGGTTATTATTATTATATGATTGTTTCCTTCAGTTCCTAGAGGGACATAGGGCTTTAGCCACACGTCTCCATTGCGTTCGGTTCTCGCCAACGTTTTCACCTGGCTCCACGTCTGCCCACATGCTTTCATCTCCTCTTCGCATGACCTGCTCCATGTCATCCTCCCACTGACGACCAACTCGCCAATTCCCATTCGGTTTCCACTCGACAGAGCCTGATGTGTGATGTCACTTGATGGATTTCTCAGAGCATGGCCAATTCACCTCCATTTCTTCCTGTATATTTGTTGTATAGTTGGTTCCTGCTGGGTTGGTTCGTTCATTGCCAGAGATTCCTCACTACTGTTGATCTTTTCTGGCCCGCCATCTGATCTTGAGTGGCATTGAGCGAAGACAGTTGTTGATGAAAGTTTGTAGTTTGTTCGAAGTGCCCTTCGTGACGCAGCGCTAAGTCTCTGTTCCGTATAGTAGCACATTGGAGTTGAAAATCCGCATCTTGTTTTTTCATGCTTAGTGCTGTCGACCTCCACACAGACTTGAGAGTAATGAGAGCTTGCCTTGCTTTGATATCCTCATCAGTTCTGTCAGCCCGCAGTTGAAACGATGCTTCCCAGGTACGCTAAGGAGGTGGCTTCTTTCAGATTTCTATCGTTTATGCTGATTGTTGTTGGCCAGGAATCTTCATCATCACCTCTGTTTTCTCTATATTCACCTGGAGTCCTATTTTTGATGTTTCTTCTGAAAACTTGTTGCTGTATCTTACTGAATATAGTCTATATATATATATATATATATATATATATATATATATATATATATATATAATGAAGAAATCACGATAATTCAAAACCTTGGCTGAACAATGATTGGGAAGTAACTCATCATATATAATCAACTAGTGTAAAAGACAAAATTGAAAAAAATAAGTTCAGGAGGATTTTGAAAACAAGTCTATTACAATAACTAACCATTTCATTTTCTTCATGAGATGTCTTTTTCTTACGCGACAGGGCTTTATGCTTACTAGAGCTGTCACCATGTGATCGGCGTTTCCCTTGAACGAAGAGTGATGGGGAGTCAGTCTAAAATAAATAAACATTTCATGAATTAGTAAGTTTATGATGAGTGTTGTATTTAACTAACAAAATGTAAGATGACAGTTAAAACCACACGAAGCCTCCCCGAGAATCATTTTCCCTTACCGACATCACCTTCATCACCTTACTTTTCTACCACAGTCAGTATTATTCCGCAGGCTAGTGAGTTATCTTCACTTCATTTTATGACCAGATATAACGATGAGAGACATAGAAACACCCCTGAAAGCCTCTTAAAGCCATACCGCCAACTTCATATAGGAGAATTCAACGTCAGGACCCTCTGCCAAATCGGACAACAGGCATCACTAGCAAGAACTCTGGCATCTCAAGTCATGGATGTATGTTGTGTTTCGGAGACACGCATACAAAACTCGAGTGTGGTCATTCACTTAACCTCACCCGGCCAACAAAGTGAATCTGCAAAACTCACTTTAAGGGTGTCAGTTGACTCTTCAGCTAGTTTGCGAAGACTAGCAGGTGCAGACATAGCATAGAGAGTGAGGGCAGAAAAATTACTTCTTGACTGGATCTCAGTAGATAGTCGTGTGTGCGGTCGATCTGAATGGGTCCCTTAGAAGAAGGAGGGATGGCGTTACCCGACGTTGTTATTTCATAGTCTCCGCTTACGCCCCAACAGACTGCACTTCAGATGCACTAAACGATGACTTTTACCAGAAAATGTCTAATTTGCTGCTAAAAGCGAGACGCTCAGATATAGTTGTTTTAACAGGCGACTTCAATGCCCAAGTAGGGAAGTTGTGCCAGACTGAGAAGTATAAAGGTGGTACGTATGAATTTCCCTGCCGACGAACCGACAACGGTGATCGTCTTCTACAGTCCTGCTTAGATAATCATCTGTTCCTAGTCATCACTTACTTTAGTCACAAACAGACACTGCGTAACCTGGCGACCTCCATCACCAAGTAAACGTTGGACTCAGATAGACCACATAGCCATAGGGTATCGTTGGCCAGGGTCAGTAGAAGACTGCCGCTCCTTCTGTAAAACATGCATAGACTCCGATCACGCCCTGGTTCGTGCACGTTTATGTTTACGTCTAAACTAACAAAAAATTGTTGGCAGCGAAACAGTCACTTCTCCAACTAGACAGAGACTCTGAGTCCCTATTTCAGGAAGAAATGGCGAGACGTGAATCTGAGATCGACAGCAGGACTCCTCCTGAGGAAGCCTGGCACAACAAAGTTAGCTGTAGACACAGATGTAAAAGCTGTTAATAACCTAAAACCAAGAGTTAGTAGGAGCCATTGGATCTCTACCGCCTCATCCGAACTGATTGACGCAAGAAGACTGATTCCAACGAGCTCCAATTATGATGAGGAGCGAAGGCTGTTTAAACACAAACTAACAAGAAGTCTTTGTAGCGACCGTGAACAGTGGTGGGCGACAAAAGTCAAAGAGATGGAAAAGGCATCGGCGATAGGTAACACCAGACAACTATTTAGATTTATCAGGGAAACAGGTGGTAAAAGGCGAATGATAAGTGAAACGATTTGAGAAAAATGACACCATAATTAGCTCCCAGGACAGACGACTGGAACACGGGAAAGAACACTTTGAGGAGTAATTTAATTGGCCTGCAGCCACACTCATCTTGTCGAACATTCAACACTTCCCTGAGTGGGATATAAACACAGGTCCTCCGTCCCTAACTGAGGTTACTAAGGCTGTCACTAATCTGAAACGAGGCAAAGCAGCAGGACCTAATGGAATGACTCCAGAGGTATTTATGTATGGTGGAGACAGTTTACTGTCTGCGTTAACTAAGGTACTAGGCAGTGTCTGGTGTAAATTATTGATTATCCCCATATACAAGAAGGGAGACAAATCTTCCTGTGATAATCACAGGGGGGTTAGCTTGACTAATATGCTATCTAAAGTTCTAGGCTGAATAATTATGAGTAGACTAAGTGAAGCTCAAGAGGCACAAACACGAGAACCAGGCAGGCTTTAAACCAGGAAGCGGGTGTATTGATCATATCTTCACCCTTCGACAGATTCTGGAACATAAGCATACTTACCGGCGTCCAACGATTGTCACACTTCTTGACCTAAAGGCGGCATTCGATTTTGTCGACCGAGAGGTACTATGGTGATGTTTGGCTGTGAGGGAAATGACGAGAAAATACATTGCACTGATGAAGGCACTCACTCTACTTGAACTCATGCAGCCAGCCAGGTAAGAGCTCACGGTGAATTGTCATCTGAAGTGGTGTCCCTCAAAAATGTCCACTCTCCCCATTTCTATTTAATTTCATCGTAGATCTACTAATGAACTCAACCCTAACTGACTTCAGCGACTCAGGGATTGACTTGTTATCAGGGAATAATAGTCTCGTTGATTTAGAATATGCAGATGATATAGCCCTTGTAGGTGAAGACGCTGACAAAATCTAGTCTTCTGAACACCTTGATCAAAAAGCAATCTGCGAATGTTTGGCATGCGATTCGCTCTCGCCAAATGTGAGGTGATGCTACAGGACTGAACTACATTGACTCCTAGATTCGAAATAGGGAGTGATGTGGTAGAGCGTGTTGACCACTTCACTTATTTGGCAAGTTGCATCAGCCCAAACGGGTTGATCGCTGACGAAATCTCAGCACGGATAAAGAAGGCTAGTTTCGCATATGTCAGTTTATGCCGTCTCTGGCGTAGATGTGACATCCGACTATCGACCAAACGGCGTGTGTACTGCTCAGTAGTTCGCTCCGTCCTCCTTTATGTCTATAAGATCTGGCCATTGAGAGCTGAAGACATTAAAAAGGCTAGCTGTCTTTGATCATAGGTGCCTGCGTTCTATCTCCTGTGTTAGGTGGTATAATAGGGTGAGCAATATTGAGGTTAAGCATCGGTCGAGAGCTAGGTAAGGAGGAGAAATCAACAGACGAGGTTGTGAAGTAACACCGGTTGAGATGGTTAGGACATGTGTTACGCATGCCTAGCCATCGCCTTCTTCAACTGACAGGCAGTGTTAGCTGACATAGGATCAGGTTGAAAAAGAGCTACTGGTGGTCAAACCAAAACATATCTTTACCAGTCAGTGAAATCCACAACAGTTAGTTTTAGCCACGTAGGAAGGTGTAGACTTCCTGGTTGTGGTCGTCAGGATGGTGAGAACCAATGGCGGCTGGAGACAATTGAGTGACATGGATCAAAGTGATCGTTCTCAGTTACGGCTGGCGCAGATGCATCCACTTCTTGTGACTTATAATATACAATAAAACCACAAGGTTCTTTGTTATTACAATTCATTTTGCCTCGTATCTCTGTTTACTGCCTCTAGTTTGCGTCTCTTCTTACTTTCTTCTTCTCTGGCTTTATGTGCTGAGTGAAGTGTGGCGACTGGAACTGCTGCGCATCGGCGCAAAGTTCTATGTTGAAACCAGTCAGTCTGATTACCGTTGACTGTTTTTAGGTAACAATTTACCTAATATAGTTCGTAATAAGTTTAATGTATATTTTAAAACATTCTGAATTATGATATTGTGCTTTAAGTTCACTAAATTTATAAATTCATAAAAAACAGTTAAAGAAATGAAATCACCGAACACGATAAAGATGCTAAAACTGAACGGATTACGGTGTAAATGCATAAAGAGACAACAAGGTCTCTGATCCTATCTAACAGTAAAGCAAGTTAATTTAGTAACTAAAAGGTATATTGCCTCTTTACTAAACTGTATTGAAACGTCAAAAGATTAAACTTTTATATTAATCAATATTTTGATTAAAATTGTTATCCTTACTCGGATAACTTACAGAACACGAAACACGTATCAACAATGAACAAATTATGCGTGACTATTTAATGTGGTTAGAAACTTATAAATATGATGCGATTTCCACAGTAAAACAGTCCGTTACTACTTATCTTACCTTTTGTTGTTACATAACAGCAAAACCAAGCTGGCATGAATGCGGTTACAAAGTGTGAAAAAAATCGGGGAAAATACTAGTTTCAAGGTAGATTTCACTATGGATCTGCACCAGTTAAGGCATCATCGAAACCAGGGACTGCTGGATGCCTGTCTTATCTTACTTTGGAACTCTTCAGATATATGGGCGTATGATCCCACTGGGAATCGAGCTACAGGACCTTCATATTATGATCATTGCGTAGGAATCCAACATTCCATGTCATACTCTCCTGGAAACCTGAAAACCCCGGGGGTTAGATCCCTATTGGGGTGATAAGTAGCGTTGATAGGTCCAGCAGTAAGGTAAAACAGCTGTCCAGTAGTCCTTAGTTTCGATGATTCCCTAAGTGGGGTAGGTTTTTAATGAAATACACCTTGAAATCAACCAAATCCCTTCAAATCAACACTTGAAAGACGAATGTTTCAGTTCTCAGAATTTCAATAAGCATGAAGGCATCATCAGTTACGTGAAGAGGTATCATTTCACTAGCAGCCTTACTAAATACAGCTCTATGAAAAAACCAAGATAATTGTAACCAGAAAAGTACGAAACACCATTGAAACCCTGAGGTTTTAAATTACACCGTTTATGGTGTTTACTTTAGTACACTAATTATTTCTCTAGTCAGCAAATTATTGTTATCTAGTAACAAATGCGAACCTTCACACAATGCGTACAATAGTACTGTGGATCATTGGATTGAACTATTTGAACTTAGTTACTCGGGACAAGCTTTTCATGTAGCATGATACGTGCTAAACATGAGGGCTGATGATACTACCCGGCTGCGTAGACCACAAGTTTCAATTCTTCTTTGCAAACTGCGCCTGGGGAAACCAGGTAGCACTACCAGTTCTCATACTTCGGGTATGCATGACCATGCACGTGATTTTTGAGTAACATAATATATAAAAAAGCACATTTGTCCAAGCTGCCAAACTTTGTAACACGATATCACAAATAAAAATAGTAAGCATTGAATAATTAGTTTGCCTACATGGCAAAGACAGAAAGGACAAAACGAGTATAATGCCAGAGAGTGTAAGGGAGTGAAGTGGTGTTACTGAGACTTTAGTCGAGGCAATAACTGAATAGAAGTTTAGTTATTGCTCACGTATTTAATAGCCCATTACATTCTTAATAACAATAAAATTGCGTGAAGGCTTTTTAGTTGTGTTTAGTTATATTCCTAGCCTAAACGTTCAAATATTATGTTTAAATTTTTCAGTTGTTAAAAGTAAAACGGATTTAGCAAAAAATTCAAGTGTTCGGGCAGGGTAAATATTAAAAGACAACTGAACGAGTACTCATTAAAAACAAAAAACCCAATAGTTTTGTGCATACAAAGTGGAAATTTTAAAAACAGCTACTTACAGATTTGTGTTTAGAGGAAGAATCTCCATAGACTTCTTCTTTTGTGGGTTCTACACCAGGCGATTTGGGAGAGTCATTTGTGGTACACACTGCCTCTTTCGTTATCTTGGGACTATGAATCTCTTGGTGGGCGGTAGTCATGGTATATTTCTGATATTCTGATTCATCCATGCAATTTTCGGATGTTCTAGTATCATACTCTGGCTCAGTGTCAGCATCTATATCCTCTTCAGTCAACGTATGAGGTGATATGGATCCAAATTCTTTGTTATCTGGAACTTCCAGTTGGTCTGTTTCTTTTGGTGATTCCGGGTGTAGGTCACTCGTTTCATGAAGCAAAGGTGATTCTATTGTATCTGCACACTCTGTTTCAGATGAGCTGTTACTCTGGCTGTAAGAATCATTACTTATATCTACTCTTCTTCGTATCTTTGTGTATCTGTCATGAGGTGTGAACTGGTTCTTATGCAGATTAGTGGAGATCTGAGGACGTTTCCTGGTGGTTGTCAAGGATTTTTTCAAAGCAGGTCTACCACGACCGACTATTCTAGATGACAGTCGTTCGCCTACATGTTTACTGCGTAATCCCATAGAAGTAGAACTTTTTAATCTACCACGTCCTCGCCCTCTTCGAGGTACAGATTTACGAACGCCGCTTGAAGTGACAGTTTTCTTTACATAACCACGAGCAGTGTGAAGTGAAGAAGATTGGCTTGCTTCAAAATCCCTGCATAAGAGCGAAATTACACACAAAAAACAATCAAATTGAAAGAACACAAGCCATAAAACATTAATCAAGTTATGTTATTTAAGTAATAAATACACTGACAACCAGCTAGTAAAAACCCTTTGAGAGAAGGAAAGCAGCTGCTCCAAAGTAACTCACCAGAAAGAAGTTTGAACTACTTCTGTGGTGGTGTGATAGAGACAATGTGTGCCAACAGAATATTAATCTCACATATTCCCAGTCAATTCGGCATTAGCAACAGAATACGATATATCTCTTTGAACACTCTATTCGATATTAGAGACAGAATACTTTCCCCACGGTTATATACTGCATTAGCAAAAAAATACTATGTACATTTGAACATTGTATTTCATGTCGTTTGACATAAACCGAAATCACAAACACAGTGATTGGCTAAAGAATATAAACTGTAGATATATAACCAGTGGTTTGATGAATGAAATATACCTTGGTTTCCGTGTCTTGCCTTCTGTTGTTATGCTTCTACTGAAAAACTGGTCAGATGTTTCTAATTATTTTTATAATTTATAATTCTAAACCTGAGGGTTGAAATCAGTTATACACCAGAAGAATAGCGAAATCTTCCCAGCAAAGACAGAATAAAGACACCCCAGGAAATAAATTCTCGAATAGTTAGTAAACAATAATTTTGAAAACTAAACTAAACACCTATTGATACGAAGCTTTGAGTAAAACATTCCACAGTGACCAACTCATACACAAACGCTATAGATCCTGAAATACCGGGAGTTTGTAACAAACACTGTAGTGAGAGGAAATCATATTTTGAAGTAAGTGTTTGAACGATATTGACACAGTGCCTACAGTCACAAAGGTTAACAGGATACATAAAAATACAAATATTTATTAAGGAAAACTAAGAGACAGAGAGAAATAAAGGTGAAAATAACAAAGATACAAATTGTAGGGGGATAAAACTTGAATGATCTGGTCTCACCACTGTGACCTATTCTAAGCGATGTCACCTTAAGTTCTTAACCGTAAACTTAGCTTGTTAATCTTAAAATAGACAGTTTCCTGCGTGTCTCGCAGTCAGAAAGTTTACTACTTACGGTTGTCCTGGTCCAGTAACTCCTAACCATAAACCAGCCAAGACATTCATTAACTGCTTTATATACCCAGTAGTTTAAATTCAACGTGTACATTAATACGCGTAGAAAAGTGCCAAGAGAGAAGTCTGTCTCTCTTACGTGTGAAGTGACATATGCATGCACTAACATGAACCTTGCTAGACAGTTTTATTCGTTTATTTATGACTTCATTTTCTGGGGGGTTTCGATTTCATACATCCAATTAGATGTTTTCTTTATGGCTTAAATTTTCTAAGGTTGTCATTTTTCCCACTCCAACATTTGTCTATCTGTGTCGAAGATATTTTTAAATGGTCAGTTGGTCATTGAGAGATGTCCTGGGAGAGGGGAGCATTCCAGTCATGTTGAAAGAACCCGCAACCAAGTACAACTCCGTCGTAACAAAATGGTTCGACACACCTAGGACTTTAGCATAATTTAGTATAAGAGTTGATGTGAGAACCAAAGGTATGTTTTTTTGTCTGAAGCAACTACGGTATGAATGAAAGAAATTGGCAAGTCGACTCAGTTCAATTAATCCAAACTTGATAAACATTGAGGCTATAAGGCATTCTTACCCATTTGAAATATAGTTTGAAGGATGACGACCTGTCCGACCAATGTTGTTTCTTCTATTGACCACTGCAGGTGACTTCGAATATAACTTTGATTTCTCATCAGCGTGCCGTTTTTCGCCGTAATTCAACTGAGGGTTTTGTGACAGACTATGGTGATCACCAATCCCATAAGTTCGAGGAGGATGTGGTAATTTACGAGTACATACCAAAGAATGACGAGTTGGGCTTCTTGCAGGATTGCTTAACTGATTCATTCTTTGAAACCAACGAGTAACTGGACAGCCTTTAAGAACGCATGCACACTTAACAACATATCGGCAGGCAGTGTAGTCAAAATCGAATGGTAATGTTATTTCAGATGACTTCGGTATAAGTCGTGAAGCAACGACAACAAGGCGAAGATGTGGAACAGGTGACCCGTGTGGACCATTTGGGAATGAAATGCAATGGCGAACCTGGAATGAAATTTTCAATTAACTGATAGGTGAATTAAAACATATTGATGAGTAGAGAATTACATCAAAATGGAAGCTGTAAATAAGTGACTTAAGACAGGTTAAACAAAAAACGACACAGGCGAAACCCGGTGTGAGAGAAAAACAATATTAGTTACGAAAAACTTTCCAGTAGTACGTAATGCTGTCCTACTATGTGAACACAATAACACTACTAGTGCCCTATATATATATATATATATATATATATATATATAATATCAAAAATTGAGAAGTTGCTCAGCATGAAGAGAAATCAAATTACCTCAGAATTTGGTGTACACGATCGACGGATAAACCGCGCTTCATTGCCATATTTGCGGGCATCAACACACAGAGGCAATTTGGGCAGCGATTTGTAAAACAGGACAAATGGATTATAGCTAAAAGGCAACTGTAGGACAAAATATAGATACTTACTGTTTACGATAGTCATACATGTCACTGTATTCACTTAACAGTAAACATTTGCCACGATATTCAATGATTGGCGTACGAGGATGTATATCTTCACTTGCTATGAGTCCCTAAAAAAGTGATTATTAATTTTAATAAGATATCAACTTTGAACGAAGTCAAAATCAGTTTTACAATAAATACAGACGAAAATGTACATCAATTGATTCTTACCCTGCGGTTAAAATCAAAACTGACAACTTGATAACGAAATAAGCTTTCCAAATTAGAAGGAATTTCTTCATTTGAAATACCATCTACATCGCCAAAATCTGCTGCCATACCGGCGAAGAAAGGAAACATCAAATCTAGCTTCTTACAAAGACGATCTGAAAGATGTAAACTAGAGGCTTCTTCGTATATATCCGACGTTGGAGAAATCAAAGAATCCGGTGTTGAACACAAAGAAGTTGTATTACGTGAGTCACCTATCTGAGCAAATGTGCTGTGCACTTTATTATTGGGACAGTCTGAAATCAAACGGTGAACAACACTACTATGACGAAGCTGTAATTTACTATCCTGCCCAGAAGATGGATGATCAACTTGTGTTTGGCAAACAGATTCTGAATTTTCCGTGAAGCAGCTTCTGGAATCCACAGCATAGGATGTTTTGACACTAGGAAGATCATCATAATCATCTGAAACTGGTGGTGAACTTGTAAACCCTTCTAGACCCACATTTGCAGACGATCCCCCAGTAACTATACAAAGAAAAAATAACAATCAGATATGATGAAAGTACCAACATATTTTGATGATCATAACAAATCTATTTGCATTATCATGCAGCCGAAACTACCTTAATAACTAAGCTAGCACAAAAACGATTAAAATACTACAGCAATCAGTTATAGGAAAAGATGTTGGATGGTTGATGGAAACACAATTTTAGAAGTTTTATGTGATTATGATTTAAGTCGTGCTCTAAATGTCAGCTAATAGATAAGTCATTGTGCACTAACAGGCCATCTATTTGTGTATTTGTCATAGAAGTGCATATAATGTCCTATTTAGTTATAAAATTGCACTCTGCTCATAATCAGATCAAGAGCTCCGTAGCTCAGTCGTATTAACTGCATTTTTCTAATTTAAAATGCACTACTTTGCTGCATATAATGTATTATTTTCACAGACGCTTAAAAATGGCTCCAACAATTAGAAATGATTGAACAGAATTAGAGAATTTCATAAGTGGAAATGAATTTAGTGTTAATTTAGTAGGTAGTAACTAGCAGCGGACTCCAGGATGCACATTCTGTCCCACTTAGGACTCATCAGCTGGATATACTTGCATTCTCCAGCCAATGGTTGTGTTCCCACTGAGGCCCAAACCCATTGTTTCGAACATCGAGGCGTTATCCACTAGAGCACTTGTGCCACGAGAGCCACCTGCCGTGCAACATGTGTTGGTTGTGATTTACTTTTATTGTTACTTTGATTTCCCCGTTGACTGATTGGACCAAAATGTTCGGCCTTTGCTGACATCCGCACAAGGAGCCGACATGTCAACGGAGGTCAGACATTTCGGTCTAATTAATCAACGGGAAAATCCAAACTAAAATAAATGTGTAATTTGTTAATAGCTGAATAACATTATATATATATATATATAAAGCAAGATTTACGTTGACCAATAGTCTAAGAACCTAGGATCAACGGCCATTTGACGTCTGATTGGTGCTCAAGAGAAACAAGATGGAGGGAGCAATGTGGACGTATAATAATGATTTCCCCCTCTGATATTAGGTTAGTCAACTCTATGTCAACCACCTTAGTTATCTAAGTAGTGACGTAGGCTACAATGGATTGCTTTCTGATGTGAGCTCAGTGTAAGCGTTAGATGTATGTATGTAGTGAGAAAGATATTTTGGTGTCAAGCGGAGGCACGAAGCGTTACGCTGACAGATATCATCAGTGAAGGTAGGGGATATACCTGCCCGATCCACAAAAGAGGTGGTCAATAATGTTAGCAGTGCGTCGGTGGCACAGTGGTTAGGACGCTCGCCGACCATGCACATGGTCCGGGGTTCGATCCCCGACCGACGCACTCCTTTACCTCGCCAAACCAGTAATAAAAAGCCGGTAAAGAGGAAAGGTTGGGCATGAGGCTAGCAACCTCATCCTGTAAAAGTAAACACTGCTACAGAAACTTCAAGCCTCTAGCTTGAAGCCCTATGTTCCACTGGGAACGTGAAGGAAAAAGAAAAAATAATTTTAGTAATAAATCTCAATTACTAGACAAGTTAAGCAATACGGCTAAGCCCTTAAACACTGGTTGCGACATATACTAGACATAGAAATTCACCATTTTTCTGACTGGTAACTTTGGCTTGAGAATGGAAGGAAATAATATATGACCAGCACCAACACATGACACTAAGATACGAAGTCTATGCAGTTCGATCTATCCTCTTACAGTCAATTTCAAAGAATGTAACTTGAGTGTTTGTTTTTGTTAGCCTTCCTACATTCTCAAAGAAATCCACAGACACGATTGCAGCTGCATGATTTATCTTTCGAGTCAAGTATGGCACCTTTATAATAATTAAAATAGATTTTATACTTGTTTTGTGAAGAAATTTCCACGTAAGCAAACTGTGGTGACCAGGTAACATAAAAAGTACACTTCAAATCATGAAAAGTCATACAAAGTCTATATTCTTACGTGTGAGTAGATCTTGTTTTCGTTTGGAACTTCGAACAGGTTGCGCGCATGGTGTGTAGCTTGGAGGACGAACTGCAGTAAAAGGGCTATCTACACTAGAGCAATTGGAAATAACGCTGAAATCACCACACTGTATACTAGATATTCCTTGATTGGTTGGAAGACATACGTGAACCTGTCGAGATGCCGTGCCTCCAAAAGGGGTCGAGACGTATATGCGTCCTTGCGAAGTATTTGTAGTAAGTGATGTGCGGGATATCCGAATGCTAGAATTTGAGGTTGATACAACACTGCCATACGACGCCACTTTAGGACGCGGAAGTGTGGCAGGTTTTGGGTGTGACTGGCACGTTTCGCAAACATATGGATTCGACAAATGTCCTTTGTTAACAGATGGGATACATTCACTGTGGTGCCATATTCTGCAAAATAAATAATCGAGTTTCAAAAATCACAGAGATAAAACGTCACACCTACTAATGGGACAACCTTACCTGCAGTGATTACATTGGATGAGATAACCGCCTACGTTTGGGTTTCCACAAATACACCTGACAGAATCACCAGCATCAGTGGATAGTTGACGTGGAGCAGCGGTAGCAATTTGAAGTGCAGGTGCACCAGTGCGCAATACAACATGTGGAGTGAGAGAAGAAGTAACCCGATGAATTTGCAAAGGAGGATTTATGTTTCCACTAGTTGAAAATAAAATGGTACGGCTTCCCACAGATGAAACATAGCTAGCTGTAGTAACTAGTAACTGGCCATTACTAGGGACCGGTTGAACTTCAGAGCGCTTGGTAGGCGATAAAATAGGGTTTACTTCAATCAAACCCACAGTTTTGCTAACTGGCACAGACATTGTATTTTCTCCACTAACCCAGCTAGTCTGTGAATCTGAATGAAGAGCATTAACATTTCCTCCCAGACTATTGGGGCTATCATCCTTGGCTAGTGCTAGTTTCGCTAGAAGAGACAAGCGGTCATCAGATTCAGATCCAAGTTTTGGATTTGGTTCACAAGACGCATAGTTATGATCCTAAAACTGGGTTATTGAGCAAAAGTAACTCACGTTATATGGAAGACCCCAGCAGCTTTCCGATTCACCATAAGTTACGGCATGAAAAGGATAATCATCTGGGTCAGAATCAGAACTAAACTTAGGCGAACAAACTCGAGAACTCACTTTTGGTAAGAAAAACAAACCACACGTTTGTTCAGTTTCTGTGAATCACTGGGAGAAGTTTCCGAACCGTCAAGATTTATTTCTATTGTCCGGCCAATATCAGGTGGTTGGGAGGAGTAGTCAATGCATTCAATGGGAGAATCTGGAGTGTCCTCAATAATTGTGTCCGACTCCAAAGAATCAATGAGGGAACTATTAGGTCGACTGAAAGGTGATAGGTTAATGCTATTATGTCGACGTGGATGGATGAGAGCATCCATCAAGTTAACATGTGACACTAGACCTAAAATGGGAATTAAAGAGAATAAATTATATAGAAAATGCCAAATGCTCAAGTTTTGATAAAATGTCCGATGTACTATACACTTAAAGGTAGAATACCAAGAAGTCACACGAGGTTTATAATTTACATGAGATGTAGTGCACTCCAAGCATGACATAATTCTTTCATACACCAGTAATTGTAGACATATCACACAACTAGATGTACTGTTGCATTTTGAGCATGAAGCCAATGTCAAGCAATTATATAACTCTAATAATAAACACATCGTGAGACACGACAACGAAATTTAAAACAATACAATTTTCAAGCCTGAAATAATGAAACCAACTTCATACAATTACAGTATTACAGTAAAGATTAGAAACAGATGGCAATTTTTCAAACTTTTAACCACATTTGTACATTGTCAGTGAAACAAGCAAGTACAGTAATATTTAAAACATCATGGAGAATTCTATTTCTTAATGGAATGACTTACCTAACATTCCTAATCAGCCAAAATCATTCGTATCTCCATCCCAAACAAAGGGATCCATGCATTCAAAGTTTCCGCCCAGTTTGCTCTGGCAACAAATCAAACAACCGTCGTCAATGAACTCACAGCCCAGTGACGTACCAGATAAAGATATTACTAGAGGCTAAAATTATTGTAATAACGATTTCCTACATATGTCTTGACCACTTTCGCTGCAATGAAATAAGTTCATATGCTCAAGCATCATATATGTTGTATGTTACCCCGTTCACAGCCTTCAGAATATAAAATTTGACAGTGCTAACTTGGCAGATTTTAAAATCTGATAAAAATATGTGAAAAAGAGAGAAGTTTCCTGTCTGAAGTTGTCAGAGGAATTGCTAAACTGATTACTTGGCAACATAGAACGCTTGTTGTGTCGATCTGCTGACATAAAGTCAAGGCAATTCCATTATGGGTAAATTTTATTTTGATAGAGTCTCACAGTGTTATACAGTAATATTTACTGATATAAATATATTATTAATTATTATTATATTAATATTACTGTATAACACTGTGAGACTCTATCAAAATAAAATTTACCTATAATGGAATTACACTCTACCACAGTGCCCAAGTTTTATTCTTATATCGAAGTCAAGGCAAGTTAGTTTGCAATTCATCTGAGTCTGTTCCACTTAGTCAGTGGTTGTCATGTGTATTAGTGTTGATATTCCTTGATATTATTACTGTGGAGTAAATGGCTTTGAAATTAATGCGTACCAGGCGAAGAAAAGTGCTGCCCACTGATAAATGCTCCTAATTTATGCAAGTCTACTTTGCTTCTGTCAGTGATGATGAACATTAAGTGGAAGTTCAGTGAGCTTGTTTATTGAAACCGGTTTCCTGTTCTTTGGAAACTCATTGACAGAGCATCTGAGCGATACGATCAGAAGTAATGCCGCATATTGCACTGACGTCATTTTTAGACTTTTTTAGTGTATTGATTATAACCAACTGAGAATTACACGGTCAAGCTGTTGTATTATTAATTTGCTTTGCTGGCTTATACCTGATTAAATGGTAAGTCTTCAACCAACCGTCTGTCCTTTAATACCGATTGTGTTGATATTGAGTTGGTCACTACGTACGTAAAATAATATTCTTAGTCTCGGAGAGTTGTCTTTTGGCTACAGCTAATTTTCCTGGTACCGTTATAGAAATCTGTATGAGAATCGAATATAAACGTTGCGTCCGTACATATTTGCCAGAAAACTGAGCGCTCTTTACTTGTTTCCCAAAGCAACAGTTTCCAAAAGGAGAATTTTCTCAAGTAGTCAAAGAATTAGTGAGCATTCTGGCAACATTCACTCCGAAAAGAAAAGATATACTAGCACGAATGGGGTGATAATATGGAGCGACACAAATTACCCAGTATGAATAAGCTCCTCTTGGCCACAAATAAAAGCGGAGTATTCATAATGTGGTGAGCTTTAAATAGCGGCATGAAATCATGAAGACGCATTTTTATGCGTTAAGGTTTGAAGTCCAAAACCAAGACATAACTATCAAGCAACAGTAACTGCCAGTGACTAGTAAGTACGCTGAAGCTGTCCAAATAAATACTTTCTAAGAAGTTTTCCAGGTCATAATTTCATGCAAGGTGTCCATGTAATGGTTTAATAGAATTGTTACATGAACATTACAACACCACAACGTGTGTCGTTATTAGGGTATGTTATCAATTCATAAAATGTTTATTTCTATTGTGGTTAATATTTATGCAGTGCGTAAATTGTGCCTATGGATATGTAAGTGCGTCCAAATTGTCGTCCATAAACAGTGATTACGTTGTGTGTTTTTATTACTTGTAACCACCTAAAGACGTCTGTAAACTTGTGCTCCTCACGTACGAGTGGCTGTATTGCAAATCCCCGCTAACTGTAGCATTCATGACCGTTGCTATGTTGGTTTAGTAACAAATTATGTTCTTTATATGCTTTGTAGATGAAATTTCGCATTAAAAACATTTCTGAGTAAAATGATATGGGAGGCATAATGCACTTAAACTGCATTACATTCGCAGCACTTGTATCAGGAAATGTCTCTTGATACTGATATCTGAGCAATGTGATGGATTAGATAAGGTAGGAAGTTCAAAATTTAAACGCCTATCTTGAAATTTTCATGAAATCATACTGGTATATTCGGCCTATTTACTGAGAAGCTATTGTCTTAGTTGGTTTTGTAGTCGTTGGTATCCATGGCTCAATTTCAGCATTAATTTCAGTTATCATTTGCTCATCACAGTCTGATTCTTATTTTAGGACACAGAGTGTTAGCATTATAGGAACAGTGTCTAGCATCGTTGTGAACGTGTTTTCCTAGTGGCTTTTATTTTAGGGAGAGAACAAAGTGCTACAATAATAATAAATTTTATTTCTGTAACAGAAACCAGCCATTTTTACAGACATGAACATATGTACACTAATAGGAATTTATAATATATATAATATGATTTGTTAATCTAGAAATAGATTGAATACTGGTTAATGTGGGAGAAACATTTTAAAAGAAATGTTCAAATAAGGTAATAGATAATTTTTGAGGTCTGCTTTCGACTGAATAAGTCATAAGATATAGCGTCAAATCTAAACTGTAATTGAAAAAAATACTGTATGTCAATTTCACGCGGGAACTATAAATGATTGCGTTAATTGTGGAAGTAGCATTTTTGTACAGTTGCTGACGTGAAACATAAGAGATGCAGAATGAACAACACTTATGAGTGAATGATTCATAAAATGTTTGAAAGTCTATAAAACTTCAAAGTCACCGGTAAGTACACCATAATTGTGACATTTCCAGTTCTATATGGGACCAACTTTGCACTTGTCAGAAGATTTCATGATAGAGGTGGTTCCGTTATTCACCAGGTGAGCTAGCAATATTCCAAATAAGTAGAGGATAGCAGCACTGTATCAGTGCCTTCGTTGAAGGTAATACCTTTGAAAAGAGAAGAATACACAGAGAACCGCCAGAGAGGTGCAGAAGTACACAATAAGTGTCAATAATTCAAAATATATAACAATCATGGGGTTCATTTATTTTGTTTTTTTTAAATTATTTTTTATTCCCGGTAGGTTTTAGCAATGGAATTTTACAGTCTTTCTTGCGAATAATTAATTTAAGTGAAAAAAGGTGATAATTTTACCTACTTATATAGGTTGAAAAGGAGTTAAACACAAAAGTCAAAGTGCGTGAACTATGTAGAAGAAAAGAGAGGGCTTCATAATATCTACTGTTTTTTCTGAAATATACAGTTAAGTGTCCTTCTGAAGTAGCAGACTCATACCATGTACTTGCATTCGAGAAGTTCGTATTTAAACTTCGGCTTTAGGAAATTTTCAACTTCTGTTCCTTTTTTATTTATTCTCCTATTTTGCAGAAGCCATTCGAACTCAGGAGCCTTAGCAATAGAGTGCTGTCCCACAGATGAGGGTGGTTCTCATATGTCCTCACTATCACCTTTTTTGTGCAAGGCCGTGGCGAGATGCTTCATTTTTTATTATTATTTTTTTAAAATTTTTGTTATAATATGCCACAAACTTTTCTAAAATATTCATTCCTCAGCTCTTTCAAAGTCATGGTATGAATGACTACTTTCAGAAGAACATCATGTATGTTTCTTCTGTCACAGCATTTTGGAGAAGAAAAGTAAAAAATATGTAAGGAAAATAGACTATCATAGTCTACATTTTAGATATAAACAAATATAATTTCGAAAAACAGTACATAATCCTGCAGCATTAAACATATAAGTAGTAGTAAGTTATAATATGTTGTTCCGAAATATTTCACCACACAGGATTATAGTTATAGAACAGTATGATAAGATTCAATACTATTTAAAACTCACTGTTCAGTTGATTATTTAGACTACCACCATTTGGGCCTTAATTTGTGTCGAGGCAGACAGTGCTTACGTATAGCATTAGGCAGTCTCCAGAGACATTTTGATGCCAGTCGTCTTCAGTGGATTTGCATCTGGAAGTTGAGACTGAACTCTTAGCATACTGAAATACTAATAATACAATGTTATCACGGATATATGCGAAAATATAATATAATATAATATATATATTTCGTATAAACGGGTAAGTTTACATGAAATGCATGCCATTTTTACAGGCACGATCAATTATGTTACGAATAACAATTGTTAATTAGCATACATTGTCACTTTTTCAAAAAGTTCATATTGTTGAGTTATAGTACAAGCAATCAGAACACATTCTTATAAATGTTAATTTGTAAATATTTCACGAAGGTCACCATCGAAGTTGAGCGACAACCCGAAATTCGTTCCATTTCCTGATGATAGTTATGGCCAATCGATAAGCAACATATATTTGTGTGAGTGCTATGCCTTCAAATGCTTGAACGCTATTTTAGGAATTGAAGAAAATCTGGCGCAGCTGCAAAATGGTATAGAATGCAATTATGAATAATACATTATTAAAAGTATATTTACAAGATAAATACAAGAAGCTATGTAGTACTTGAAATGATAATACACATTTGCAATGTATGATGCTAACCATATTGGTCTTACCATGGAAAACTATGACGCTTTCTATGAAAATATATTTATTCTCAAACATGAGTGTTGTTGTTTTTATCATCAGAGCAACCGAACTTTACGCGAGAAAAGGGTGTAAATGAGAAGAGGGAAAAAATTTCAGCTTCATTAAAGTCCTAGGAAGTTGAGATAAAATAGAGTATAATAGTAATTAGGTAGAAGGATTATTGTGAAGTATATAAGTAACATTTCAGAGAGAAGTGGCTAGAAGGACTAGAACCTGTTGAATACGGTGACCTGTAGGATGTTTGGCGAACTTGTGTATGGCCCATGGGATATCTGATTGAAGAAATAATTAAAATTCAAGGCTGATTGAGATTAAGTGACCAGGGTTGTGGAAACAATCATAGTGAAAGTAGGGTCAAACATAGAGTACACGGACTTCG